TCCTCCTCCTCCTCCTCCTCCTCCTCCTCCTCCTCCTCCTTCCTCCTCCTCCTCCTCCTCCTCCTCCTCCTCCTCCTCCTCCTCCTCCTCCTCCTCCTCCTCCTCCTCCTCCTCCTCCTCCTCCTCCTCCCATCTCCTCCTCCGCCTCCTCCTCATTTTCCTCCCCTAAGTGTTGTGCCTGTCTAGCCATCCTCGCGTCGATCGTCAGCGGCGTCGTCTTCCTGCTTCTGGTGGGCATCGGAATCTGGTGGTACAGGAGGCGGTCAAGATAGCGGCAGGGGGGGAGGAAGAGGAAGAGGAAGAGAATGGAGCCAGCGAGGCAGGATGTGGATAGATATGAAGCTAGGTGGAGGAGGAACAAGAGGGAGGAGGGGAGGAGGGCAGGCCTTGGGATTGTGAGATATGAAAGTAGAGGATGTCTAGTGTTGTTGTTCATGTTTAGAATACATCTGTACAAGTCAATAGTGCCTTTCTTGTCATTTCCTCGGAATCGGGGGCTCGTACTTCACTTCTTTGGTCACCGGGTTATAGTAGTACGTCTGCGTATCATCATCATCATCATCATCATCATCATCATCATCTCCATCATCATCTCCATCATCATCTCCATCATCTTCATCATCTCCATCATCTTCATCATCACATTCATCATCATCAGCAGCAGCAGCAGCTCTTGATTGCATGTCAGAGAAACACGAAGATCACAACTGAACAGAGGAGAAAGGGAGGAGTACGAGAGAAGCTGAAGAAGCAGCACAGGAGCAGGAGCAAGGAAAGGAAGAAGGAAGAGAGAGCGGGAGCACGAGACAAGTTGAAAGAACGTGTTCAACCTTGAGGCCCTTGTAAGGACGATGATTTCCTGACCCTGATCGCAAGACCCATCCTTTCACCTCAGGCGCTTTCCACTCCTGCATGCAGCGTTACTTGCTCCTGCCCATGCTTCTTTATCCACGTCCCTCCTCCTCTGCTTCTCCTTCCCCTTCAGCCACTGCCACCCTCCTTCCTCTTCGCAGCCCCTCCCCAACATCGCCTCCGTCGCTCCTCCACACGTCTTCCTTGCTCCATGCCCTTACCCTCTGCTTGGTATCGTTGTTGTAGTAGAACCATCGCTCCTTCGTCTTGCTGTAGTGCACACTCCACAACAACTAGCAGCGACAGTCAGAGGCTTCCGCATGATGCAGGAAGAGTTCGAGAATGAGAAGGAGAAAAAGGAGGACGGGAAGGAGAAGAAAGAGATTATGGAGGAATGCGAGGAGGAGGAGGAGAAGGAGGACAGCAAGTGTAAGAGGTAGACTAAGAGGAAATACAACCTTGCTTGCCTTTTTCTTCCTGGAAACATGCTTCCTGGCGCTAGAGCCCCCCTCATCCTTCCTCTCCTCGTCACTGTTCTCGTCTCGGGCGGAAGGGAAGGCTTCGTCCCAGTCAGGGTCGGGGGAGAGGCCGATGTGATGGTCGAAGTCGAGGAGGGGAGAAGAGGAGGAAGCTTCGAGCCGAGCGCCGTTACGATCAGCGTGCCGATCAGAAGTCTCAGCGAAGAGCTCGACGATGGCGTGAACAAGATCCCTGACATCCTGTCGCAGGATCATCAGAGGGAGCAGAGGAACAAGGGGGGAGAAGAACGAAGCGCAGGAGACAGGGAGCTGGTTGTAAGGTCTTTGCATTACCAGGAACGTCTTGTCCGACTTGCTCGTGTCCTTCCAGTACTTGAGGCTCCTACACACATGAAGGTCAAATAGAACCACTCCTTCTCCCACTTCTCCTCTGATCCCCCTGCTCCCCCGACCCACCCTCCTCTTCTCTTCTTCTCTCCTCCTCCTTCTCCTTCTCCTTCTCCTTCTCCTTCTCCTCCTCCTCCTCCTCCTCCTCTTAGTCCGCCTCCTTCCTCGTCCTCCTACTCGTACTCATACACGCCCTCCTCCTCTCGTGTTTACAGGTCGCAACCGATGATGACGAGCTCTTGCCCAGTGCTTGCCCAATGCTCTAGCTGCAGCTCCCACATCCTTCCAAATCAGAAGTGAGCGAAGTTGGAAATGACGAGTGGGAGAGCCCGATGATGATGATGATGAC